TTACATTATGATATATTAAAAGATGATAAACATTAAATAAACAATGCCAGAGAGAGGGGAAGGAACCCAGACTGCAGGATGGATGAATTTGTGTGTGTGTGCACATGCACGCACATACACAGTCCATAAAAGTATCTCCAAATGTCTATATTTATTAATTTATTGCGCTGAAATCAATCAATTTGATGTCATAACCAGTTGCAAGTTTATTACCTGTTGGTGATTCCGTGGCAGGAAATTATGTAACCAGCTGTAAATAAGGTGGCATATACTGTTGAGTAATACCGCCCGGTGGTCTAGCGGTTAGAACGCTGGCCTTGTAATCCTGGGGTCTCGGGTTCGATTCCCGGCGGTGCCCGAATTTATAACTTGTGTTGGGCAAGGCAACACAGAGTTTTCCTCCGTGGCATCCCAACAATTACTCCATTCACACACAAAAGAAGGCAATGGCAAACCACTTCTGGATCATCTGCCGAGAACGTATATGAACAGGTCCCAGTCTGAGAAAAGGACGGAAGGATCCTGTTCATATGGACCTGTCGTCAGACAGAACACTAAATAAAATACTGTTGAGTAGCGTGTGTTTTGAAGATTCATGAAGGTCCATAATAGAGAGGTTAGTGAAGAAGTTCAACATACTAGATTTCTCACAGAGAATGAGGACAGACAGACTGAAAACATTGCATATGTACTGTAAATGCTCGCTCATAGCCCAAGTGAATCTGTTGTCTGTCTCAAACACCGAGTTGAAAATAAACATTGACTTTGACCACTGTTCGGCACAGCTCAAAAATGTTTCAATACAAGGCTCAGATACAACAATCCCTGCCCACTGTTGAAGAAGATAGGTGTATCACCATCTGTGGTTTATGTCATCAGTATTAGGAAGACAATCCAACAGTTACACATGACATTTGGTTCATTGATGAAGTACACTTCTACATATATAGATATGTCAGTGAATATACACATTTATGGAAATGTGTGGTAAAGTGTGCTGTTTAATTTATTAAAGTTCTTGAACCAATCTTCCTGGATGACATATTTATGATCAATTCATTCCACATTTTTAATGCATGGAGGAAACAATGTTCCAACAAGGATGCAAAACCACATATGGTGAATGTGGCTCTTTATTTTCTTCGGAATATTTTTATGATAGTTATATCTGTAATTGTGGATTTGGAATTGGGTGATCTTGGACAATGTACTTGTCAGATTTGAATCATTCTGATTTGTTCTTATGGGGATTCCTCTAGGACAGTGTCTGCAGGAATAATGCATGTAAAGTTGAAGAACTGAAGGGAGAAATCACAGCTGCTGTGGTTATTGTTACTGAAGAAACATTGGCTGCAGTTATGGAAAATTTCATCCAGTGTTAACGGATGGTATTGGATGGAGAGGGATCACATATTGAATATGTTCCATGTAAATAAGAAGTTGCTGATGTCAGTGCAGTACATCAATAAATATAGACATTGGAACTTTTCAGTCTCTTCTTGATGGCCCTGTAATGTAACACGCTTCTGTTAAAGTTCATGTGTTCTATTTATCTAGTTATAGGAAACGAGCTAAGACGGGGATGGGAAACATTGCATGAAGGCGATTTGTTACAGTGTAATATAATTCATAGTATAAAGGCTGTTACCGATTGTCAAATTTAACTTTTCAGTAAGGAGTTTCATATAACATATATTACAGTTCTAATATTGCATAACAACTATCTGAATACATTAATATTATACTTACAGATAGTATGAACCAAGGAGAGTCGATTGCTTCCTCTTGAATCAGAATTAGATTTCATAATGGTTGGTAAAATGGGAATCACTTATAACTCATTTTGGATTGACTCTTATTTATTTATATTAATTTTATATGGACAGTCATAAATTTTTTTTTAGGTAGTGATTGACAGTGAAACTCAGAAAGGTATTTTTTTATTTATAGGAATGATTGATTTCAATTAAATTGTGTCTTAGATTATTTACTGATACTGTGTCAACTGCTTTGCCAAATGAAGTGTTCAGCATGATTATGAAGAGATAAAGAAACAGTATTGGCCCATTTACTATCGCTCTATCACCCTGCCACATCCCATTTGTCACTGCACTATCACCCCGCTAGAGCTCACTCAACACTGCCCTGAGTACTTGATATAGTGAAAACTTCCCTACCCTGATAGGTTGATCCCCCATGTCATTGATTATACTTTAAATAAAAATTTCTGAACTCCCTAGACTAATGAAAGGTGACTGCGCAGCCAATATGCTTTGTTTAAAATGAACATGATTTTTTTTTTCCAGTAAATGAGCTATTGATTCTGTGTATAATATGGCAGTTGCCAGCTAGATCTTTAATTAGATGTGACAAGGTAATGAGAATAAGATGTGGCAGGGTGATTAGGGATGATGAAGAAGAGGGGTGTGTGAAGCATTCATGACCTCTTTTCATGATGCTATCAGATATTTGCCATGAGCCGGGATAGCTCAGTCAGTATAGTGGCTAGCTACGGGCTGGACGACCGGGGTTCGATCCCCGATGGGGGCAGAGGATTTTTCCTCTAGCCTCTGCATCAAGACCAGCTCTGGGGCCCACCCAGCCTCCTCTACAATGGGTACCGGGGTCCTTTCCCGGGGTAAAGCCAGCCGGGGCATGATGCTGACCACTCACCCCCATCTAGTGCCGAGGTCAAGGAAGGGAGGAGCTATACCTCCTCTCACCCCAAGCACCTACATGGCGCATAGCGGGACAAACTTTACTTTTACTTTTATCAGATATTTGCCAGGGAGTTCTGTAGAAGAGCATGAAAGTCCTCGGTACCTGGCCCGAATTGAAACTCGAGTACCTTCCAAATGCATTATTGCTGTGCAAACCTGCTGAGTGCCTTGTGTACAGTGTAATTTTTAAGTCTTTGTACACACAGTGGGAAATGCTGCACATTCATAAATGTTAACATATCTTGCATTATTTTGAAGTCGTGTAAGCCAGACAGTAGTTTTATAATTTTCTCCATTCTGTAAATTTCAGATGAAGTTTCATCAAAGTCTCATGAATTTACAAGTAACTTCTTTGTCTCTATGACGTGGTAGTAGTGTGGTTGAACTGTCATGTGATGTCTTAATGCACTAAAGCCTTCTGTGATGGTAACTCCCTTTTATGTATAATTTTAGACTAATGAACATTTTCTAATTCAAACAGATGTCATGCTTTAAATATGCCTCTTGACTTTTGAACCTTGTTTTTGTTTTTATTCATTGACATGGATTGAAAATTGTACTGACACCTGAAACCCAAAGCAGCTTATCTCGTATCAGCATTATAAGAATCCAGATAAATCAATGTTTTGCACTGACGTCTTTGTCTGTAAACTGCCTTATTGTATCAGAGACATGTACACAACATAAACTTCTTTTGTAAACAAGTTGTACAAGTTTATAATCAAAAAAATATTAAAAATCTATTTTTGAGAAAGTCGGGTAAATTGGCATCCCTGATATGTTGGCTCAGTCTGAATGTGAAGTGGTAATTGAGAACTGTCCCTTGTAAAACTGAATTAGGATTTTTTAGAAAATGTCAGTGCCACTGATGTTTATAAAAAGTAATTCTCTCAAGGGAGAACCTACTTAACACGCATGACATACGAACTGGTATTTATCCTGTGACTTCAAATGAAACTTCATCCAATGATCTTAAAATTCCTTGAACAGTCGGACATCTCAACTCTTTATGTAACATTACACTAGTAAGTGTGTCAGTGACTAATGAAAATTTTGGTCATGCTTTGATCTCCCCCCCCCCGAGATGGATGTAAGAACACTGTGCTGGGGCAGCAGTAAGATGCACGTGCAAACATTTGTTTCTGAGTGGAGAGAACATAAAGTCTCATAAATTACATTTTCTTAAGAAATGAATTAATGGAGCAAAAGAAGGAAAGAATTCTTAAACCTCTAAAACGTTAATTTCTTAGTAACTCAGTATTGTGTGTATAAATTTCTTTTAGGTTACATGTATCTTATTTGATGGGAATATTTGTACAAAGTATAAATCTCATGAAGATGTGGTTGTTTATGAGAGTCTTGAATGTCAGTGTCATGTGTCCATTTGAGTGACAAGGCTACAGTGTCCTTCACTCGTGATCAGCAGATGGGCCACTCTGTTTAAGTTTTAGCCAGGATATCAACTTACCTGCCTCAGGAGTTTATGATTTAATATCTCAGGTGAATGTTCAGGTAGTACCTTGAAATAAACTGTATTTTCTCCTTCCAAATTATTTTGTACTCAACATTCATAATCATCTTCCCCAGGCAGTTTGCCGTGAAACAGTATCATTAAATAACCAAAGTGTCGAGAACAGTTTTCATATATTGTAATGTGCTGTATCGGCTTTTTGTCAACGAGACTAGATGAAGCATTGGAAGTATTATGGTTGCTTATTTGAATGAAGAACAAAATATTGTCCCAGAATTTTATTAGCTCTTCTTACTATGACACTCTAAACTTGCCATGTGTGATCATCCTCGCATCTCGTAACTCAGTATGTCAAATATTAGCCTTCTTTCCTTTCTGAAGGAAACACTGTGAGAACCTCAAGTCTTACACGAAACAAAGTAGGCTTATGAGAGTTAGAGAGTGCCCACCTCTTCAAATTATGAACCAGTTGACTAATTTTATAAATCATGGTAAGAACATTACACATAAGATAGTGTAATTGCGTCATATTGTGAATATTATAACAATTATTTATTTTAATCCGTCTTATCACAATATTTAAAATTTCTTATAATTAAGATAATAAAATATCA